CAAACGATAGGGTAAACGTGGATAAGTTTGAACGCATCGAGTGACAAATATGCGCTTTAAAGTTTTGTTTGTTGTATGTGTTTTTTCACCGAAAAAGCGGTTTGAAGAAAGACCTTTAAATTGGGATTTATTCAGTCGATATTTGTCTCTAATTTAGATGATGTTTTTACAGCATGCGTTGTAATTCTCCAAAACATTTAAAATGAAGTGGCAATGTACTTTTGGCGCTAAGAGTGATAAGAGTGAGTGGGCGAGGGCACAAAAAATACCCGAAATGGCAAATAAAGACTTTCCTGTTCATTCTTCTGATACTCGAACTGAGAGCATTAGGAAAATGAGCGTTTCGTGCGTCATTCTCGAAAGTTTTATGTAAGGTTTTGCATAAGTGTGACGCACAAATCTCCTATCGGATTATTTAAGGAGATCGCTACCTCTTGCTTCCGTATTCACAAAGATATAAAATTGACCTGATGATTTGCTTCTATGAAATCAGTAACAGTTGAAAAACAATTTATTGTGACTGCCATAGCTTCATTTCGTCTTACTTCACATATCGGAGAAGTCTTTCAGGTCTCCTTCGAGGAACGTTTTATAAATATATGTAGGGTCTTTGTATATTTAAAACAAGATTCCCGAAGCGTGGAACAATTTAATTTAAGATGCGTTCATGTTAAACTCGCCGCCCTATCAAATACGACAAATCTAACTTACGTTTAGCTACGAAGTTTATAAAATATTTATATTTTACTATAGTTTTCATAGAATCTGAAGCTGTTTGCAAAAAGAAAAACAAAAAAGATAGCAAAGGTTTTTATCTTTGCCTGCCTTTCTTAGAAGAGAGTTGTGCTGCCTGTTTTTATTCATCAAAGAAGTTTATAACTAACGTTTTTCTTTTTCAAGTAACCGCAGTGTCTTAACGTTTATTGTAAAGTACTGTTTAAATGAATTGTCGAAAATTAAAAACAAAATAAAAAAAAAAAAAAAACAAAGAAAAAAGGTATTATAGAGAAATGTTATTAAAGTTACAAGTTTTTCCTGCACAGCAAGGATCATTGCTCTCCACAGTTTCAAGTCTTGTAATGCCTTTTTTTTTTTGGTGTAACAACAAACAATGTTTGTAGTTTTTTCAAAAAGAGGAGGAAAAAAAAAAAAGATAAAAAGAAAATTAAAATGAAAACTTCCTGTTAGTGTTAAAAAAGCACTCTAGTGGCTTTTCTTAATGTATTCGTGCGCTTGTGAAATTACATATAAGAATAGTTCGGTATGTGTTTGTGTGAGAAAAGTTCTTTTCTTTGTTGAATATGCGGTACAAGAAAATATGTGGAGTACTTTTGTTGAAATAACTGGTTTTGTGGGTTTTTACTTTTGATTTTATTGAGATTTTTAACATGCCTCCACTTACATACATACATATATTTTTGTTTGTGTTTGCATGTGTGCAAAAGGAATGAAAAAAAAGGAGCAACATTGCTTTAAATATTGTTTCAACAACTTTTACAAATGTTGCATGTAATGCATTTTATGTGGTTTCTAAAGTAATAAAAATTTTTATAGTCTGTACTACTAGCGGTGCTTAGCAGTGCAAACCCATATATATATATATATATATATATATACAAAATTTGTTTACAATCATGAAAAGGAGCGAACAAATTCAAAAAATAAATTCCAAGGTGGCCTAAGTCTGTCTGTCTTTTGAGTTATCTTAAAAAGAAAAGAAAAATACAACTATGTGCAAGTAAGATAAGAGAATATCTTAATAAAGTTTGTTACAAAAGATCTCGCTCGTAGTTTTAAAGTATAGAAAACTATGCAAGATTTGATCAATATATCAATATTCGTGAATCCATCAAAATTTGTCTCTCTTTCTGTCTTCCCAGATATGGGAAGGAAGTTGAAGGACATGAGTGCACATTAGCGTATGATGAGAAAAAGTTCTCAGAGTGAGATAAGTGCTTAAAAGTGATCTATTTCACCATCGTTCTCCTCTTTCTTTCTCTCCTTTTAGGATTTATTACTGAAGGAAAGTGAATGCTTGCGATTTATTTCAAATAATATTTTGATTTTATACTTGAACATATTTTGCTAGTCGTGTGGGAAGATCTCTCTCAGCCCTTTCCTGAGGGAGGGTCATTATCGCACAAGCAAACTTTTGCATGTCTCTGAGGTTTACTATTTCGCGACTTTAGGTTTTTCGCGGGAACCGATGTATTGGAGTGGTGGGCAAGTCTTGTCGCATATTAAATAAAAAATTTGAATTTCAAGGTGGAGTCTTTTAGTTATTGGTTAGATGTACATTAGTCTCCCACATGGACTGCAACATATCATCATCGACGATCTTATTTAAGAATGAAATCACCGGAACAAAATTTGCAAAGCAGCGTTGATAGGTCCGAGCACTTAATTGTTTTACTCTTCTAAACTCGCTCTCCCCCTACTTTCACTTACTTTTACTTACTTATCCCCGCTTGACTGCCGGCTAGCCTACCTTTTTATATAGCTTCTACGCCAGAACTTATTCATCATTGGCAGTGAGATATGAAATACGTATACATGCTATTATGTGACATGCATGCTTATGATTTCACGTTTTTACCCTACTCTTCCAGATAGCGTAACTTTTACCTCCAATTCCTAGAAGACCTAGTCATTATTTAGGGAATCTTACATTTTTAATGTTGCAACGCTTCTTGTCGTCTTGTCCCTTCGAATATTACGATTCTACTGTCCTGACTCGACTCCCTTTGCTTGCCGCAAACAACTTGCGTACATACCCTTTTACCAGCAATTTATCAATAACGAATTTCGTTGTGACATTTTCGCCCTAATCTCATTTCACAAGCCCTTGGTGTCAGCCAACAGTTTCGTCGAAAGGGTAAAGCATCCGCAAATGGGTTTTTCTACAAAGTAGGCGTGTGATTTTCGTAACAGTGTTAATGTAAATATATGCACTTAAAGTCATTGCAATCTTTTCTAGATCTACATATACATACTTATACAATAACTAACAAGCAGAGTACAATTGTACCGGAGTTTAAGTAGAGTTCTATACTATAAGCGAATTGTATTATATTCTATCGAAATCGAGCAACTTGTTATTTTCCCTCCTTCACTGTCTTTCTCCTTTTCGCAGTGTCGAGTAGAGACAAGGTTCCATTATAGTTAATCATTATTTCTATTTTTAGACACTTAAGCGACACCTTAGTTAATTATGTGATTTTCTTTCGCTTCGGAAGCGGTCTGTGCATTGTTAAAAGGGTGTTAAATTGTGATTATTTTTCAAAACTACCGAACTGCATAAAGTCTTATTTTTTGTTTTGTGGGGCTTACGTTGTTTTTATTTTTATTTTACCTTTTACCTTTTATAATTTAAAATAAGTAAGTAAATAAGTAACCTGAATGAAATGGGTTAAATCAATAGCATCGTCATCGTCGTCATCATCTCTTGGCTTTCATGAAATCTTCTCGTTTTCTTTTGCGGTTTGTTTTACGCTATGCATAAAAAAGAAAAACAAAACCGGATTTTTTATAGATTGTCAGTTGAGGTTTCCAGCCATACCGTCATCGTTGTACTTATAAAGAGATGCTATAAGCTTGGTGGTCACTGCTTATTCCGCTTCTTGAGTTTCTTTCGTTTTCAATCAATTCGTTTGTTGTTGTTCTTGTTATTGTTAGAATTTAATTTTAAATTCTCTATAGATTTCCATTGCAATTTATAAAAGTTGTGGCCGGAAAAAAAAAAGATAAAAATGTAAAAAGATCACGAGATGTTTTTCCTTTTCTTCTTCCTTTTTCAACTCTATCATCAAAAAATCAAACAAATCACGTTTATTTATAAGCCACACGTACTTTTTACTACATAAGTATGTGTAAAAGTTGTTCAAAGCATCAACTAAACATGCTACTCTTATATATATATACATAAACACATGCACATAATTTTCTGTTACACGCACCTTTATTTGTAAATCATGTTTCGCGATCTGACTTTCTGGCCTCCAAGTTTGTTACATTACATTACCACGCTTGTAAAGATTTTTATTGACTATAGCCGCGCGTATGTATTTATTTGTGCGTTCGTTACCTTGTTGCTATGTTCTTAATGTTGTTGTTTTTGTTCTTGCTGTTGCTGCTTTTTTTTTTTTTTTATTATTGTTATTATTATTGCCATTAAAGAGGTCCATGGCCTTATTTACCCAGATTTTTATAAAGAGCCACTTGTGTTTTTTTTTTTTTTTGTTCTCGTTGGTTGATTGCTTTTTTTAAAACTTTTGTTATATTATTTATGTTGAACTTTAATTAAATTGTATTGTTATTATTTTTTTTTGTTTTTTGCAACATTAATTGAAAATATTCTGAAATTTTCCTTTTTATATTTTATAAATATTTTTAATGGTTGCGAAAACAAAATAAGTTATTCAAAGCTCTAGGCGGGTTAGATTTAGAATTTTTGCTTGAGTGTTCCTACGGTCCTGACAGTTATTTTTAAGCTAATTTTGAATTTTCTACAGATTAATACACTACTCACTCCTTAGCTCATTTATATAATTAGCAAACAGCAAAACATGAGAAGATTTAATATATTAAGAGCTTGCTTATATTCCATGTGGTATTTTGTATAGAAACACGGAGACCCCTGCTACTGTTCTCCTCACGTAGTCAGGGAAGTAAGCGGCAGAAAACCAATCATAAGAAGATTTTGCAAAATATGGCGATCAGTGTACTTGATCTGCTGGCGTAATCTTTCTACAATAAATTTAACGCAAAGGGCTTCCAATTTTTAACATGCTTAACTAGAAAATTTAATCTTTCAATATGCTGCGCTTATGTATAGTGCTTCTAAAAGTTATTGTTCCGCCTGATTGATGCAATCATCAAAACCGACTTTAACGGGAGAGCAAATAACGGTCGGATGACCCAGGTTCATTACTTTCGTTCAATTATCGAAATTGTTAAAGTAGTCCTTAGAAGTAGTGAAAGTTATAAGAAGATGTCGGGTCCACACTTCTATTATGTATTCGAGTCTTTGATTGACTTGTGAAATCACGGAACATAATACCCGAGATTCGCTGTTTTGGTGAAACCATTATCTCGGTCAATTTTCAAAATTACTTAAGCAAAATTTAAAAAGAGGGGAAATTGTACGCTACTTCTGTGTAATCGGAACCCTAGTTGACTGAAGAAATCACTAAAACGGTGATTAAAAAAGGGAGCAAATAACAAGAAGATTCTGGCGTTTGAAAATTTTGTGTCATTAGCATACGGTCTTGTTCAGCTTATTACAGTGCTTCTTAAGAGTGCTAATATTATCTTTTTTAGCATGGAAACGAACTTTTGGTTCATCCACGAAATCATGATTAAAACGTGATTACGGTTTTTGGTGTTCCCATGTCCAACTTGGCTTGGATGGGGTATTGCAGGCGCACTACCATCACGCCTGATGCAACGTGAACATGCGTAAATGTTAAGATATGTCGACAATCGTTACGATGTTCATCGCAAATAATTTTCAAGACTAATGCTTACCTTTACATGGAAGTCAACTGTATCCAAAGACGAATTGTTCTTCCAATGCAATCTTCAGCTATTCAAAGCATCTCCTTCAAGTTACCTTTAAACTTTTCCGGCATTAGGTAATCATCAACGCATATAAAAATCGTTCCAGTTTCCTACTTGGATTGACTTTGTACTCACAGTACAAAAAACTGCTACGTGCATGAATACATCGTTCGAAGTAAGATATTCAGTTATTGTATAGAATTGGGGAGAAAGAATAGCAATAATAATAATTGTAAGTAATAATTCATTCATTCAATTCAATAATTCATTAACGACTAAATCATCGGTTTTACCCTTTGTGTAACTTTCAAGAGCATCTTGTATGCAATGTTTTCATTGAATTTTAATAATAAAAATTTTATTATTGAAAACATTCTGTTTTTTAAACCTTTTATTTAGTTAATTAAAACCGTAATAGTGGCATTCACTGATTGCTTAACAAGAACTTGTAATATTGTGAATAGCAAATCTTTTGAGGAAGTATTTAAAGTGCAAAAGAGGAACGCTTTACCATTTCATTGTATATATGTATATGTAAGTGTATGTGTGTATATGTACACGTATTTATATATGTATGCAGCTATCTTGGCGTACATATACGTTTATCTATGTAAGTATATGTATTTCTACCGTTTACTTCTAACAAGTGTAGAAATTAATTCGGACCGATTTTCGCAAAGGATGGCTCTACTATCTCCCCGAGGATTTCTTCATGTAAAACTTCTCTAACGGTATTATCTTCAACCTTCAAGCGTCGAAGTTATTCCAAGGAAATGGGCGAGACGTAAATACTTTGGAGCTTCGAATAGGTCGGGATTCATGCCACGAGAAACAAAAAGCGACAAATGCTCGAAGCGTTATATTATTTACTTGATTCGGACGTTAGCGCTATTGAGTGTTTTTGTGTGATGAACAATGGCTAGTTTACGATATGCAAATAACCATATGAGACCAACCATCAGTGTCTATACTAATGGCGATGTAATTTTGAAGAGGTCAATGCTTTATAAGGTCCTTCAACCGGACAAGATCATTACAGAGTGGGTTTTCAGCATGAGCCCTCTTGGCCTCTTATTGCAAAATTCCCCCCAAAACGTTAGCACCGGCGAATTGAAATATAAAATATATATGCATATATGTGTATGTCTATATGAGTATATATATATATATATATATATATACCAAATACAAATATCTATCAATGGATATTATTTATTCGTGCGTATATCCGGGCGATTATCTCCTCACTTAATCTTCACCGCGACTGTATTCCCAAAGCATTCGTTGTATATTAGCCGGTTGCACCTTCATTTGCTTACCCGATTGTCTATTTCAATGTGTAATTATCGCTTTGTATGTCAAATCATCTCAATTATGCGTATGTCTGTTGAATTCTCTGTCGTTTGCCTAATTATTTGTCAAAACATCGATTCATTTAACCTCCATCGTCTTTTTGGCTCATCTATATATTATAGATATCGATAATATATATATATATATATATATATAAAGGCTTGATGGGTTCTTTAAGCTTTTGTCCTCTTTCCCTCCATTATCCGGCTGCTATCCACGTATAGAGTCAATTTATTGTGGTTTCCAAAGTAAAAAAAAAGGGTAAAATACAATTTTAAAATTTCGTGGATATACTCTCAGCTCGCTTTGTGAAATCGATCTCGCAATTGGATTAAATTCCCCTGTAATCACATCCATATATAACAAAGCAATACATTTATAACAATGTCTGCTAACTGTTTCTACCGAAAATATTATTCTTTTTCAAATCTAAAAGACATCTCATGGCACCGGCTTTCAATTCGCAGTGAATGTTCTTAATTTATACATATATATATATTTTAATATCTGTGTTTATATTATGTTATTTTATTTCTTTCATTTGTAAATATTTCCAATACGTGATTGCTAATAATTTTTCCAATCTTTTATTTATTTAATCGATTCGCTTTATTTCTGTTATTGAATTTTCAGTTTTTACACACATCAGCGGGCATATTAAATTTATCAAGCACCTTAAAAAGCATTTGATGATGAAATAATTCGTGATCAAAGTGAATATCGGAATCCGGAGATTATCTGTTCGACTGTCCGTTTTAAAACACGATACGATTACACGATTCTCATCCCTTCATCTTAAAATCACATTCGCGGTGTTAAGTAAATAGTAGGTAGTAACCCTTAAAAGTTGTGGATTTCTTAACGTGCCTTGTACAGGTTACTTGAGGGTTTAGTCCAATAAAGTTTTCTTATCATTTCAAGAAATAATTAAAAAAACGAAACTTTGCAATGAATTTGCTGTAAGTATCAAATGATTCGCCCTTAGCCGAGTATAATTTCTTTCTTCTTTTTTTATACCCATCACCGAAGCACGAATTGTCTGTTCATTTTGTCAAAATGTTTCCAACGTAAAGTATATTTATTCTTTATAAGCACCTGAATGAATTTAAAAATGCCTGTCTGTCCGTCTGCCCGTCTATGTAATGCCTCCTGGCCGCAAAAATGGAGCTATCAACTTCAAATTTAGTAAAAATATTTAAACATACATTCTATGTGCTATGCCGTAGTATCTGTAGAAGACTCGGAAAAATTGGCCATGCCTATCCAATATCATAGTGTATCAAAATTAAATTTTTTGCAGTACCTTTATAACGCGCAGAAACACGCTTCAAAAACCTCTACACACCCACGCATTTCTGTCCGTTCATCTGCACAACTGTGTAGGATCTGTGGTAAACGTTCTCCCGTTCACAACACTGAAGAGATAGCATAAAAATTTGCAAAATAATTTAAAAACGATCCAAGCCAAGGTTAAGTTACACGCCTGCAACATTGACACGCCTATGCTACAAAAACTGTGAACACCTTTTCTCTCCGCATTTTTTGCTTGTGGATCATAAAGTGTAACGTATACACCATATGAGTTTCCATTTTCATTCTGAGAGTCGAAAAAATCAACCGCGTCCGCCCAATATAAAGAGATGAGGAAAATATAGTTGTTTTCTTTTTTTTAAGGTCACGGTGGTGGGTATAAAAAATTCGATCATAACCGAATATAGTTTTCTCACTTGCAGTCTTTTTATTATTTTGCGTTCGATTTTTTACAAAGAAGAATTTTATTGCTTTTTACTTTTTTGAAATGAAATGCTTTTTCACATGTTTTGGTCTGTTGTTTATAGCAGCATTAACCGATTACATGTAATTTTGGATATATATATATACGTGTGTATATAAAATACACATTGAATATGATATTATATCACAAGTGTCTCTATATATCGTTGTACATATGTAGATATGTGAATATAAAAAACTATTTTACGAGTAAAATGCATAAGTAAGTACGAGTACGAGTACGAGATTTCAAAAAGGGGAATTTTTGCGTTATGATTATTGTAATTTTATTTAATACAAGTCATGATGAGTAGAAAATGATCAAAATTAATTTTATGAACAAAATTGATGATTAAAAAAAATCAAAATGATATTAAGCATTATTAGATTATGTGAAATTAATTCCTTATATAAGAGACCTTTGATCGTAATTTTGCGTATCTCGTTTTATGGGGTAAGTTATGGGCAAAGAAAACTGCATTTCCCCAAAAAGCCAATTTTATAGATTTTTATTTTTCCTCATCTTATAAAAACCTTCTTCTTATGTATACCTTACACCACTTATGTATAGGCCGCATTAAAGTTGTGCGGATATATCTAACATCTACGAGCAGTTGAGACGGACTCACATTTTATTAATTTAGAAAGTAATTCTGAATGGATCTAAGCTTGTCTGTCCGCCTATTCGTTTTCTTACATTGTGCGACTCCGACAGGTCGCAAACACAAACGCTATTGAAAACGGCTTGGCTCGGTCCACTTTTCGCCGTATGTTGCAATGTCGTTATATGGAAAAAGATTAAAATTTTCAAAATCTTCCAATAAACTCGCAAAACAATATTACTTTGACATTTATTAATATGAAAAATTTTGTTCGCCTGGGCGAATTTTAGAATCCTCTCTCAAATAACCCTTCCTAAAAAACTAAATCTTTATATGCTAAAAAGCTATAATATTCAATATTTTATGGCGAAATTAATTATATAATAGTAAATTGATAAAGAAGTCCACCTTATCGAATTTGGACCACGTATATCTATTTTTTGAATATCACTGCGTATAAGTATTCTCCATTAAATGCCAAAAATGACTAATTATACCCGACACCATTTGTGGTGCAGGGTGCATTAAGTTAGTACGGTATGTAACACGCAGAAGGGCTTAAGATAGGCTTACCTTTCATTACACTGATCGATTCAAAATTATAATTTGATGTCTGTCAACGTAAATTTGTGTTCAAACTGCAGCTCGCAATTTTTGAGTTATTTCAATGAAATTTGGTACAGTGACGTGTGTTGATCCAAGGACGAACGCTATTGAAAATGGTTTGGATCGGTCCACTTTTTGGCCCGCTCACCATATAACGCCCTATTTTGAAATGTTCTTATATGGAAGAAAATGCAATTTTCAAAAGTTCCCAGCAAAAGTGGCTAAGTAGTAGTACTTTGGCACTCTAAATTGGTGTGGAAATTTTCGAACACGTCCTCGTGTAACGAAAACTAAAGTTCACTTTGTCAAAAAGTATGATCTTCAATGCTTCATGAAGAAAATTATATCATAATAGTAATTTAACATGAAAAAATTAAGTATGCCAAATTTGGACCTTCTCGGCCTATTTTTTGGATCCTATCCTAATAAGGATTTTCACAAAAATTGACCCTTTGTAGATCAGAAAGGTTTACCTTTTAATATTTGATGATGAAAATTGACGCATAATAATGATGCCTTACAATTAAGAACTCTGCAAAATTTGGACCATCTAGGCCTATTTTTGTGTCCTGCCCCAGTATTAAACTTGTACTACGTTAGGTTGCGTTTTGCGCCCGCTCCCCCATAAATACGCACTTGAATAGTTTGCATTTATGTAGCAACAAGACGTAATTTTTGTGTTCAAGAATACAAGTAAGAATTGTAAACGACAATGTGGTGTAAGGTATTTAATAGTCCGCCTTGCCCGACTGTAATGTTGCCACCTGTTTTCAAAGCTTTCTGACGAAAATTTGCTCAAAATAGTAATTTGAGCCTATTTTTTGGACCACACTCTATCTAGGATATCTTATGATTAGTAAACTTTTCAGAAAAAGGCTTAATTTTTAATATTTTATGA